TACTGAATACATTTGAAGCCTTTAATGATGTATGTGTCTTTCTTGTGCTGGAAGACAAATAGAAACATAATGGCGGGAAGCACTTCGCACGCACACACACTTAAAATTTCCACGCGCGCCGCGCTCACATTTTGCTGGGCCCGCGTGCCTTAGCACCGCTGCTATGACTCCATCCTAGGGGAAACACTGAACCGTCAGTGTTTGCCATCAAAGCTCCATCTCTCCTCGTGTCTCCTTTTTCCAATTGCTTCAGAAGTTTCCCCCACAGTTATCACATCATTTCTGTTTATAATATATCCCTTTAAACCTTAACCTCTTAAAATAAACAAACAAAAAATTATAAATGACCATGAAAATAATACCCTCAGCTGGGAGGGATCACAAATGTTATTTATTGACGCTGTGACAACCCCCGAGAGAGAAGTGAAGTACACTAGGACATCACTACGGCAAGGTGAGGAGTTAAACCCTAGAGAGGGTCAACAAGGACGACAAATGAATAAAAGTAAGAAATAAATTGCAATAAATTAGATTTAGCATTACAAACAGGAGGAAATATGATCTATGATAAAGTAAATAAGTGGGCTTGGTTGTGGAGCGATAGATTTTCTTTTTAGAAACAATATCCTTGCCTGGAAACCAGAACATTTTGCAAGCTCATGTTTTATTTGCTCCTGCAGATGCGTCTGGTCCCCCTTGCTTCGGACATATTTTAAGCAACTTGAAATCTGTGGGACTAATCATAACCATTTACCTAATATGGCACATTTTCAAACACATAAATATAAGATATACTGCGCACAACACATATTGATTTTTTTTTTTATTAAACATTTTACAAGTAAATATCAAAGTTGAAATGAACATAAATAGTTTTTTTCAGTCCCAGCAGGCTGTTGTGTTCAATGCTGCATGTGTGTGTTCTCTGTCAGTGTGTGTGTGTTCTCTGTCAGTGTGTGTGTGAGCTCCGGGTTGGCATCCCAGTTGGCCAGCAGGTCGCTGAAGTCCAGCTGCGTGCTGTCGAGGGTGTGTGTGTTGTGGTGTGTGAGCGGGTCGTATTGCATGTGTGTGTTAGCGTCTGTGTTGTCCTGTGAAGGTGTGTCACTGTTTGTGTGCGTGAGGTCAGGTGAGTTACTGAAACTGACCAGAGAGCAGCAAGGGCTCGGCTCGGTCCAGAAACTGAGAGGGAGATGTCTCTGGACCATGGGTCTGCAGCGGACCTGACTCGGGCCCTTGTGCTTGAACAGTTCAGCTAGGGGCCCCAGACCGCTGCCCTTAGCAACCCCGTCTCCTCGATCCTCAGCACAAGTCTTCAAGCTGTTCTCTGGCTCCTCTGGACTTCCAGCTCTTGCAATTTTCAGCAGGTCGTCATAGTAACGCAGACGACCGCTGGTTTTCACGGACACCGAGTCGCTGTAGATGTCACAAGCTTCCTGATCACCTGAGCAGCGACCGAAGTACCGCTGGACGTCCCGGCTGATGAGATCTGCAAACCTGAGCAGCTGCTTGGTCACATCCAAAGAGAAGTAGGCAGGATTCAAGAAAACCTCTTCCAAACATTCCTCCTCTTCCTCCTGAGCTTCAGATTCTTCATCTTCGTCCTCTTCGTCCTCCTCCTCCATCTCTCTTTCTTCCTCATCTTCCCTCAACTCTGGCTTTTCCTCCAGCATCTCCACATCTTCATCTTCCGTACATGGAGAGTGCTGGAAAATCAGAGGAAAGTAAGATGGAATCGGGGCTTGAAGGAGGAAGTTTCTTATGACGCCAGCCGCCATGTTGTCTTGTTAACACTGGAGAGACAGTTACAGAGAAGGAACAAAGTTAGAATCAAATAGAAAAGCAGTTTCTTGATATTTTGAGAGTTCAAAGTTAAATGTAAAAGTAAATGTTTTATTACCTTAGCTGCGAGGTTCAGGTGAATATTAGTTGAAGTCAGAGGAAAGGTCTGTTGAGGGATCCTCTTTTCTGAAGGTGTGTGTGCATATGAAATACTGGACTGTCAGAATCATCACTTTATATATACCTCAGCACGCGGCTGCAGACCTGTGTGTGTCTGCAGTCTGATGAGGCAGCTTTCAGAACAAATATTTGCATGCCGGATTGGCCAAACACACATTGTTTACTTTATCACTGGGCAACCGGGGAGGGGGTTCAAGGCTAATGGATCCTCTGCTAGGGGATGATGGAGAGTATTTATACACATACACACACACATCATTGCTTTTTTCCGTCCTTGTTATCAGGCTAGTTAAAGGATAAAAGAGCATGAAATCAAATCATATGCTGTTTTGACTTTTAAAGGGTAACACTCTGAACAGACATCAGCAAATGGAGATAGAGTTCAGCCTGCTCTGCTGTCCTCAGAACATGACGCACTATAATGTTCTGTGAAAAGAGCACATGACATAAAAGTCACAACAGTCAACCTCCCAAACTGCCAATCCTTGTCTTCAAAATTATTATTGTAGACAGATTCACCAAAAGTGTTACCGGAGGCTATTGGCCGATATACTGAATAAAAACTTTGGAGCACAGACGCAGGTGCTTTTAGTTCAGGTTGTAAAAAGTGCTCTCGAGCAACAAACTGCTACGGATGAGTAGATTTGCACCTTGCATTGTAAAGCTGCTTACATGGAGAAGGTTACATGGTTAGGTTTGTATTATTGTCATAATTATTTTGTTGTTGTCAAAAAGCTTTGGTCCACCTCTTAATATCATCTTTTCCCGAACCAGTCAACAACATTTTTAACAATATTAATCAGGGATACACAGGGCATTTGTTTAGGACTAATTTCAGTAATGGGTGTTACACAAATGTGGGGCTCCTGTAAATATTTAATCCAGCACGGCGGTATATGTGGGATCCAATCACTACATAGTACACACGACAGTAACTAAGTGCAACAGAGTGGCTCATTGATGTGCTTTAAGTTTTAGGGCATATATAGAGCTATGGAACAGAGTATCAGGATTTTAAACATGCAAACACTAAATAAAAAGGATCAAATCATTGTTGATTCGGTTAATAAAGAGCATCGAGAATTATCTTAAATGATATCCCAAAAATTGTGACGCGGCTTTTCCCTTTAATCTAGCTTTAAAGTAACAGCAAACTTAAAAAAACAGTCAGTTTACTTAAAGTAGATAACACAAAATAAAGAAACGTTATGAATAACATGCAGGTGCATGACGTGTCAATCATCAAAGCAAGGATTTGATGATTTTAAGTTTCACTGATTAAGTCCTGTACACCAGATTTTACTGACCCTTGCAGACATCTGTAACTCTGCAAATATGTGTATGTGCTTCTGTTGATATGTGTATATTGAGCATTAGTGTGTGTGTGTGTGTGTGTGTGTGTGTGTGTTATCTGGACACCCTAACTCCCCTGGCCTGCCTGTCATCAGTATCCAGGCTTCTGTGTTGATTTTAGAACTAAAGATCAATAGCGGCAATATGTCAGCTCTCAAGAGCCTGACAATGAATTACACACGCTTTTAGGCACACAAGAACATGAACACACACACGCACGCACACACACACATACACACACACGCACGCACGCACACACACATATATATCTCACATAAACACACGTGTCTGTACAATTCATCATAATGAAATGTAACGGCTCTGTTTGACAAATGTAAGAAACATGCATATATTTAAGATATTTTAAAAGTTTGTACATACTTTGAAAAGATGTATGGCATAAATGATTATCAATGCCCTCTGAGATGATTAGGAATGCATACTTAGTTAATTCACTGCGCCTGGATGTGGCTTTGATATTGTAAATATTGAGGAGGCACAAATAATAAACACAGATATTTTATTGAGACATTACAAAATGATGCTTTATCACATTTATCAAACTATTAGTGAAACATAAAGGCTCTCAAAAGTTACAGAGTAAAAAAGCAACAAAAAAAGCAGAACTCTAAATGAATTCCACATTGTCAAAAAACGTTCTCATTAACAGTCTCAGGTTTTTTGATCGCTGTTCTCAAACTGTGCCAGAACCCGGGGATCTGATCGTGATCCTCAGGCCACTCCAGGTACGTCCTGGAGTTCATGACTCTCCGCAGCTTGCAGAACTTTTTGGGGACGGTCTTTTTGTCAATGGGCTCCAACAGAATCAGCACCACTGTGTCATCGTTGTGGTCAAACAATCTAAAATGGGTGTAATCCAGCTCGTACTTGCACCATTCACTCCTGATGAAGTTCTGAGAGAGGACAAACAGAGTTCTGTGACTCTTCTCGATAGCGTCCATGATGTTGTCAAGGATCCAGCCTCCAGGAACAAAGTCTCTCTTGTGGATGCAGAGCCGGAGACGAGGCTCCACCTGCTCCAGCTCCGGGACCAGATGTGCCTCCACCCAGCCAGAGTCCATTTCACTGTAGGACACAAAGGCGTCATACTCAAGCTCTCCCTTTTTTAACTTTGGCTTCCTCTTGGCTCTCAGCCAGGCCCAGGTCATCCTCATGTACCACACAACGCTGAATTTGTGACACAAACCAACAACGAGCAGAAAGAACAGCAGGATGCCTGAGCAGAGTAGAGAATAAGCTAAAGCTGTGTGGCATTCAAAGACTGACAACCTCGCATCCGCCGCAATCTTTCCCCTCACAGCGTCAGGGGAGTCACAGACGTACGACTTTAACCCATCAACAAATGTGACTTGATGATTTGTCAAGCCACTCCTCATTAAGTCTACAAAGTCACATGAACAGACATACATGTTAGTACCACCAGCCTCCAGACTGCTCAGATTATTGTAATTATTTAGATTGTTGCTGCTGAACGTCTGTAAGCTGTTGTTCCGAATGGAGAGAAATGCGAGAAGAGGGTATAAACGCCCATCTGGCAAACTACTGATCTTGTTGCCAGAAATGTATAACTCTGTTAGAAATGGTAGTTTGATATTGAAGACAGTCAATTCATTGTCTGATAGATCGAGGATGTGTAAACTCAATGGCAAACAAGGGGTCACTTTTGTTAAATGTGTTGATGAAAGGTTTAAGAATTGGAGATTTAACGGCCAGTAACAAGTCTCAGGCATACTATGGAATGTATTTCCACTCATGTCGATGTTTTTAAGTCTATCCAGTTTGGTGAAAAGCTGACTGTTGATTGACAGCAGGTGATTCCTGCTGATATTGAGCGTTTGCAGTCTCTTATACCCACCATTGCCATCGCACATCATTTGGCTAAGAGCTGTATCACTTAACAGGTTGTCACTGATGTCCAAATACTCCAGCACTAACAGAAAAGCAGAGTATGAACAAGGAATGAGAAACAACTTGCAGTTTATCACAGACAACCTTCGCCCCGCTTTCACCAGAGTGTACAGGAGAAAGCGGGTAGGTAAGCTGTAAAACTCAGGGATATCAACGTTTTTTAAGACAACTGCCTCAAAACTTTTAATTTGTGGGGGAGAAAACAGCGTCACAACATGACTTAATAATTTAGAATCTTCAATTGCCACCATAGTTACATTAGAGTAGGACAGACTATTTAATAATGCTAAAAATGGTGCAAACGCCATAGTAGCATTTTTAAAAACAATACTTGTGGTTCCGCTACCGTAGAACAATTGAAATGGGGACATTTGCTCAGTTGTGGAGAACCATGTGTCAGTAAAAGTCAGGGTTGAGTCAGGGTGTACAACATCAGACAGTATATCTCTTACTAGTGCGAGATTTCTTGAAAACGGGCCATTCAGACCAAGGCTCACATATTTAATTGGCCCAATTTGTCTCAAACTTCCTTTTGTGTAGCTTAGCAGATTGATTCCATCAAAAACCACCTCTTCAACACCACTGAGGCCAGAAAAGTCACTGTTTCCGACAGATTGAAGGTCCGGTCCTCCGATATGTAGGATCTTTAATTTCTTCAGTGGCTGGAAAAGATTGCCTCGACCCAACATTTTGTATTTGTTCCCCAACAGATTCAAGTTCTGAAGAGAAGCAAGACTTTCAAACCATCCAGCAGACAGTGAATCCAGTCTGTTGAAAGACAAGTCTAATTTCTGTAAATCAGTCAGCGGGACAAATGCTTGCTCCTGGATCTTATGGATTCTGTTGTTATTCAGGATCAAAGACTGTAAACTGGCAAATGCAACAAAGTCATCCTTTGTTATTGTCCGCAGTCTGTTGAATGAGAGATCGAGTCCAGTGATGAGCTTTGAGGGGGCTGCGGGGACCGTTGTCAGGTTTTGTCTAGAGCATTTACAGGACGTTTGTTCAAAGCTGTGACACTGTGGTCTGGAGAGAGGGATGCTTTGATGCATCAGCAGAAGGACACACATGAGAAAGGTCATGAATCTCATCTTGATACCTAAAAACAAAAAAAATAAAAAAACAACCATCAGACCTTTAATTGCAAACTTTTGTGTAAAACAATCTGTGATTCTTTTTTTTAACAATATTGTTAGCTGAAGCTAAACATGGTTAAATGTATCAAACTACGCTGACATCATCTGAGATTACTATAACATAGAAAATACGTATAAAATGACTATCTTCCCAAGGGTAGTTTGGATAATTAGAACACAGAGGAACTCTGGGAAATAAAAACATTTCTGTTCTGAAATAAAACCAATTAAGAAACTATAACATTGAATAGAACATTTTTTTGTTTCTGTCTCCAAACTATTTATATATACATATATATATATATATATATACAAATATATATATATATATATATACAAATATATATATATGTATTTATATATATATATATATACAAATACATATATAGGTATTTATATATATATATATTATTATATATATATTAGGGTTACAATTTTGAATCAGATTAATCACAGCTTAAAAATGAATTAATCATGATTAATCACCATTCGAACTACTGTATGTTCAAAATATGCCATTTCTTTATGTAGTGGGGCAAAAAAGTATTTAGTCAGCCACCAATTGTGAAGTTCTCCCACTTAAAAAGCTGAGAGAGGCCTGTAATTTTCATCCTAGGTATATCTCAACTATGAGAGACAAANCGAGGTTTTAACTATAGTTCGGAGTGTAATAATCAACATTCTTCATCAGCGTTTTTTTCAGCAGGGTAGTTAGATTCAGGGTCCATATTTGTTTAGTCTCGCTGATGAAGAATGTTGATTATTACACTCCGAACTATAGTTAAAACCTCGAGCTGCAGAAGAGTTCTTCAGAATTGGNCAAAGAAAACATTATTAATAATGGTAATGATGGTAACAACAATAATATTAGTATAACTATTTATATAGTACTTACACAATTGCAAAGTGATTCTCACAAGTTGTGAGAATCACTTTGCAATTGTGTAAGTACTATATAAATAGTTATACTAATATTATTGTTGTTACCATCATTACCATTATTAATAATGTTTTCTTTGTTTTCTTTATTTATCGCTGCAGAAAGGATCCTGCCAGCCCACATCAATCACCTGATCAAGAACTTGTGAATCTTCAGGCAGAAAAGATGAAAACACCTGTTCAAAGTTCCAGTTCCCTGTACCTGGAACCATGCCTGTCCTCTGTTCCACATGTCTTCAGTCAGTTCTGGACCCTATGACTCGGACACTAGTTCTACCAAGGCTTATTAGAGGTAAGAGTGGTAGGAGAGGAGTGGAGTTATCTTTGTATTTAGGCTGTAAGTCGACAAAGGTGATCAAATTCAAACCATAAGCAATTGTTGACTGTAACGTCTATGCCAACCAACTGTAATTTATCATTTATTTTACCATACTTTAACGGTCAAGTTCTGGCAACCACAGCAGCCCACATGTTAACGTAAATGTCAAGTTTTCTTTTTACAGTGTAATTATATTGGTACATTTATTTTCAGTTTGCTTCTAGAAGTGGCTTCAACAGACAGAAATGCCAGATTGGGAAAAAATGGACGCTATACAACGGGAAACATTATGGACATGAACAAGAAAAAACAAAAAACACTTTCTTTGTTGCCTTTTTCTTATCATAAATAGTGTTACTGTTTTTGTTACCATTTAGATATTGAATTCTATTTATTACTTTTATTTAAAATGCACCTGTTTTAGATATATATAAATATATTTATTTTTGATGTATAGGTTGATTTGCAGGTTGGTTGTTATTTGTATAATTGTATTGTTACTGTGTATTTTATTATATTAACTAGCTATTTATTGCTATTTATTAAATTAAAATACTGTTATGAACACTATACAATGTCTTTATTTTGGTAGATACCAGAATACATGACACAATGAATCTTTGTAATATATTTATGTTCTCTGGTTTAAATAATCATACCAGTATTTAAACAATATATGCTGGTCACCTGGAATCGTGGTAAGCTTCCAGCATGGTATATTTAATACTATTATTAAACATAAGCTGGTGATAGATGGATGCTGGTATGCTGCTTTTTTTTAACTGGCCAGGATGGCTGGTGCAGCTAAACCCGCTAAACCCGCCATCCTGGCCAGCTAAAGTGTCCAAAACCCCTCTAAATCAGCCAACCATCCAGCCTAATATCTACTGGCTGGTCAATTTAGCTGGTCTAAGCTGTTTTTTTCAGCAGGTTAGAGCTCTCGTACATAGGAAAGAATGTGCGCCAGGGAACCAGTAAACTACCTCATGGCGGCTTGTGCTCTGTCATAGACTGGCAACAACAATGCGCCCAAGCTGCTCCTCCTTAAGAGAGATAGCAGCAATACCCAAGGCTGTAGAACTATGCCATGAGAAAAGAGACAGTAACACAGAGAAAACGATGAACTGTGTCGAAGGTTGAATACCTAAGCAAATAATTCCCTAACAATAACTAGAATATATAATAAGGAGACCTTGTGGTGAAGTTGTGGTAAAAGAATACACTTTTAATCTCAACTTTAAATGAAAAATGACAGTAAGCTGTGTTTAACTGTTTGAGACTTCATCTCCAAATAGCCCTCAGTTCTCAATTTATCAAGTCATGTCGCTTCTATAAAACAATACAGAGGGGGAGGGGGGAACAGAAATAGAGAGATACTGTAAGACAAGAGCTTATGTGTCCACATAATTACTGTGCACTTTCACGTTTTTAGGTAAATGAGGGTCTGATAAGGCCTTGATAAAAAGTTAAAATGAAATAAGTACACATATACATGCTTCCACCTGGTAGGTGATTGGGTTTAAAAGTCAAAATGAATATAGTATATAGTATAATATGAAATAGTCAAAAAAAAGTGGAAGAGGAAGGAGAGCTCAGTACAGTTCTTTAACAGTCACTCTTAGAGTTTGCTCAATTCTGAATCTACAGGGCAGCATTTCATTGGTTTAAACTGGCAAGTGTGTCCTGCAGGCTTGCCGTCTGATTGGATAAGAGGGAAGGCCAGTAGCATTTTGACACACACTCTGCATCTTAAACAGATAAAGGTGCAAACTTTCAGTGACACATGTATTTAGGGTTTCCACACCTGAGCGAAGGTACCAGAGCAGAAACGTCAACATGAGGACGCACACACTTTTGTCCATGACTCTGCTGGGCCTGCTGCTGTGGGCCTCCTGCAGCCGGGCCGACGACACAGAGCCCTCACAGGCAGAAACACAGGAAGACACATCGAAGGAGTCAACGGAGGAGACTTCAGCCGAGGAGGAGGAAACCAAAGAGACACCAGAGAAAGAGAAAACAACAGAGATAGAGGAGGACAAAGATGTGATGATTCTCCACATCAACAACTTTGCCAGAGCTCTCAGCGAGAATCAGTATCTACTGGTGGAGTTCTGTGAGTAGCTATGAATGATCCATTAATGATAAATAAACTATTCTTTAAAATAATGTCATTATACTTTATTTCTCCTACCTGAGACAACCTATTACATTTATCGTTGTTCTATTAGCACAAACGAAATCAGTGGCAAAATGTATTGACATTGACCAATTTTGTGTTTGAAGGTGTCAAGAATGGATACTTTCCTAAAAAAAGACACGCAAACAAAGGCTGAAAAATGTAGGAATAACTATAAGCGACCTCGAGGAAAGAATATTTATCACTGTCTTTTGATCTAGCCCCCATGAGGCGTTATCAGACAAACACGTGAACTCTCATGTCCAGATGCTCTCTTGGTTAAAGTCTCCCACAGATGAGCTCAGCACTGCGAGTGGTGAGGTCACGACAAGGAAGAGAGCAAACTGGATTAAGGCCGAGGCAAACTGCCATTGTTGCTATCAGCAGCTTATTTCCATTTTTATCTTTTCATGTGATAGCAGCACAAAATACTGGACAAGACAGAGGCCTGTGGAGCAGCTGCATGTCTGCTGCTTTGGTTATTGATTTCCAGTATTTCCTCCATGCTGTATAAAGAGATTAACTGTCTGTGTTTGTGTTTAGATGCTCCCTGGTGTGGCCACTGCAAAAAGCTGGAGCCTGTTTACGCCGAGGCTGCTGGGAAGCTGAAGGAGGAGAAGGAGGAGGCTGCAGGGATCCGTTTGGCCAAAGTGGACGTCATAGAGGAGAAGGAACTGGGCGATGAGTTTGAAATCGGAAGTTTTCCAACTCTGAAACTGTTCATCAACGGAGACCGAAAGCAGCCCCTCGACTTCTCTGGTAAACACCTCACAGACGCAGGAACATGCACACATTCAAATAAACTTCATTAGCAAAAGTGATCACAAATCTATATTGCCAAAGAAGTACAAGAAAGTATTAACATTAACAGATTATTAGAAATAAAAATACTATTATATGCAAATGTAAATAATCATATCACATGAGTATCAAGGAGAAGGATACACTCAGGATACACAATTGTGTTACTTAAAGTGGACCTATCATGCTATATTTGAATAATATAGTGTAGGACCATACCTATATAAGGCATATTTATACTTTTTATTTTTCAAAATACCAAACAGATCATGCATTTTAGCCATTCCTCATTTCGTTCAATTTAACACTGTCTTTGCATGGGCTGATTCTGTGAGAACAGCACCATCTACAGGCCTGGCATATGTACTACAGCGTCTCCAGCGCTTTCCAACAGCAATGCCCGTGGCTGTCTCCTCCTGATTGGTGGAGTTGGCCCAATAGCCGTAGCGCCACTTCTGTGACGTCATAGAAGTGTTCGAATCTGTATCAGTCTGTATCAGATCCGTTGCAGCCCCTTTTTAAGAGATTTGGGTATGGAGGAAAATAGAGAGGGTTGTGTTTTCTGACACTTGGTGAGTTCCCTGGAACACCGAGGACACATATTCATGTATCAAAGACGTACAAAAGTGCATTTTGGATGATAGGTCACCTTTAAATAAAACCTCTGTGAACTAACTGCAGATTTGACTGTTAAAGCTCTTCAGATTCACAACCAATTGTGCCGACGTCATCACTAACTGTGTGCTGAACAGCCATGTGTGTTTACTTTATCTGATCACTGCTGAACCTGTCTCTTTTACATGCCTTAAGCTGTCTGTTTCGATTAATAGTCCCTTGTGTCTTTAATGTTTGACTTTACAGAAATGAAAAGATAACATCGACATCAACCATTTTGATGTCTGTGTGTTAACAAAGAAGCTTATTTGGGCGTTTTCTGTGTGTTTAAGGTAAGAGGACAGCAGAGGGAATGGTCCAGTGGCTGAAGCGTCGTGCCGGCCCCGGTGTTCCCGTGCTCGACTCTGCAGACTCTGCAGCTCAGTTCATCGACTCACATAACATCACTGTTGTAGGATTCTTTGATGTAAGTTAATTTATTTGATCCATCCTTACTATAGAAAAAGAATTGTTTTCCCATATTATGTTTACATTTTATATCACATTCATACTTACATGTTGGTTTATGTCTATATCAGAATCTGGAAAGTGAGGAGGCCAAAGTCTTCAAGGAGCTCGCTTTTGATTTCACTGACTCTGAGTTTGCTGTGTCAGCGATTCCAGAGGTTTTCCAGAAGTATGAAGTAAAGGCCAACTCGGTGGTGCTCTTCAAAAAGGTATGAACATGTTATTACACTAACTGAGGGGCACTGAGTCAAGTGTTTAATAGAAGCTGTAACAATTTAGCTTTGCTGCCATCTAGTGCAAACAGTATCTTCTGAGGAACAAATGTCCTCACATGGATAGAAAGGTCTGAATATTAGCTGATTTTGACTTCTCTGAGAGGGATTTCTAGCTCGAGTATTTTTGATTTATAAAAATGACATGGTTTAAGTTAGGTTTAGAAAGCAAAAGAAACAAAACATCCACATTAGATGCAAAACAACCATAAGGAAAAAAAAATCTTCAATGACCCCTTTTTAATTTGTGCTTGTGTGTGTGTTTGGTGTAGTTTGACGAGGGCAGAGCAGATTTCTCGTTGTCAGAAGAAGGGAAGCTGGACAAAACAAATCTGACCGCCTTCATAAAGGAAAACAGCATGGAGCTGATCATCCCATTCAGCCAGGAGGTAACACACACACACACACACACACACACACACACACACACACACACACACACACACACACACACACACACACACACACACACACACACAATTATACCTTGAAATCTAAAATGAAATGTGCTATTATACTGTAACTACACTGTATGAATGTGTGTGTTTTCAGAATGCAGATAAGATCTTTAGCTCCAGCATCAAAATTCACAGCCTGCTGTTCATCAACTCCTCTGTGAAGAGTCAGACAGCGCTGTTGGACGAATCCAGGACCATTGCCAAAGAGTTCAAGGGCAAGGTAAATGTGTGTGTGTATTATGTTGATGCTGTGTGTGAGTGGAGAGTGTCTTTGAAAGAAGGTCAGTGGCTGAAAGATGTAAAAACGTATTTGAACCTCCTGTCATGTAGATGCTGTTCGTTGTTCTTGACGTGACAGAAGCCATGACGCATGTGCTGGATTACTTTGGTGTGTCTGAGAAAGACGCCCCGACTGCTCGTGTCATCAACATGGAGACGGGAAAGAAGTTCAACATTGACTCCGGGGATCTTAACATAAACTCAATAAGACAGCTGTGCCTGGACGTTCTGGAAGGCACTGCTAAGGTAACACACACACACATACACAGATTTTTATATATAGTTTAACATCAGCTCGAAATACCAAACAAATCATTGTAGCATCCCATAATCCCCTCTGTTTCAGTCCTGTTTCTAAAGTGCTGATTCTCTGTCTTTTACTTTAAATGAAAATAAGGGGCCACTCCCAAAATAAGCGGCCATTCCCAACTCTGCGAGATATTTGGTGAAAAAGAACACAATGGTGCTCTAGGAGGAGATTCAGGTGATAAGGGGGGGGGGGTGTTACCTTGGTTGGTGATTGGCTAATGGTTACACAAGCCAGCTCATTTTCAGACAGGTTTTTATATAAATGGATCAGGACAAAAAGTGAGCTAATCTTTTTTCCTGAAACGTTCAGAATGTCTTTACACAGAGGGGACACATGTTCATGTATAAAAGACATGAAAAAGTGGATTTTGCACAATAGATGACTTTTAATAAATAATAATCTGTTTTTCTTTCATGTTACAGCCTTACTTTAAGTCTGAGGAGATCCCAGAGGACTGGAACAAAGGGCCGGTCAAAGTCCTGGTGGCGAAGAATTTCGAGTCTGTTGCTCTGGACCCAACCAAAAACGTCTTTGTGGAGTTCTGTAAGTCACTTCACTGCGGTTCTAAACCTGCACTGGAAAAGTCAAACTGGAATTTAGATATATTCTCGTTTCCATTTTCAACCATAAAGAGATGAGCTTTAATTAATCCTTTGCTGAGTGTTTATCAACTCATCAAATGAAACTCCTTAAGAAACACCGGGCTGTCTCTGAATACTTTCCCCAAAGGAACTGACTGAGGAAACAGCCAGTGAGTTTATGCTGCCTCTTAACCATAAAGGAAAAATGTAGATCCGATTAATACCAACATTCAAATCTGTAAGACAAAATGTACTAATGGTCTTATTTCTTCAGCACATGCTTAGTGAATGCCTCTATGACATTTAGTTTGAGGTGCAATTATGTGGTTTCTTGAGCGCGTAAATATATGATAATAATTAGCTTTGTATATTATCAATAATTATAATAATAATTGAACCCTATCATTTGGCACTACCTCCATGGCCCACTAGATGGCACTCTTAGATCCACAAGTGAGAATAGACACTTTAGGTCCATGCAAAAATGATGTGTCTAGTTTGAAAAAAGTTGATTAAAGCATGGAGATATGTGTGTAGACTTCAGGAGACACATTGGTGTTAAAAGTGTTACTAGATATGTATTTCATCTTTTAACTCTGTGTGTGTGTGTGTGTGTGTGTGTGTGTG